CTATATAATCTAGTATTATGAAGTAAGAAGCCTCAAAAAATACACAACTTGTCTAGAGAAGTGAGCTTACCGGCAGAAATGATGAAAAAGATAAGTTACAAAACCCCATTTCTGAAGACAAAAGAGAACAAAGATCATAAATTGTAGGCACTCAAAACTTATAGGAGACAAATTCAAGCTACAGGGATGTGTGAAGACTAAGAAAAGGCAAGAAGCAGCAAAACATTTAGGATAAAATCTGGGAATAAAAGACCCATTTGAGCCAAGTTTTAAGCCAAAATAAAATAACTCATTTCTTATTTCAATCCTCAGCCAATGAGCAATTGAATTAAATTCTGGAAAAGATACGTGTGCATGTGCCTGTCTTATCAGGTACAAGGAAATTTGTTTAAATATATAACATGTCCTTATATAGGAAGCAAAATTTAATTAGATAAAAATTTAATTACATGGTTTGAGTCTTTGCACATGTTCATATCAGTGAACATTACTGGAATTTACAGATTTTTTTTTTAAGAAAGATTACTATTGTACTATGAGAGAACTCATATGCTCCCCTCCCTTTACAGCAGCCACCTTAGTTATCTAAAAGTTCTAAGTAATCAATTATCACCCCTGTATGCAGGTGTGATTATAAAGACAGAGTACTGATTCTGTGGTTTGGCGCTGAAAGAGCGATTTGAAAATTCATTGCCATTTATAACCACACCTGTTTGACACAAGGACTGCTCAATGTATTTAAAATAGATTATGGGAAGTCTTAATAGCAAAATCTTCTAATTCAAATAGCAACAATTTATTACAAATCCATCAAGTCTTAAGTGTTTATAATTGTAACATTTTAGAGAATGGAAAAAATAAAACTTAACAACTCTGCTTCTTTATTTCTGAGGAATTAAAACTTAATATTAACCCAAGTGAGTAAAATTAGGTATTTTAAAGTGCGAGTAAGGAGCCCAGATGGTGCAATGGTTAAGTGCTCGGCGGCTAACCAAAAGGTCGGCAGTTCAAACCCACCAAGGAAAAGAGACTTGGCTATCTGCTCCTGTAAAGATTACGGTTTAGGAAACCCTATGGGGCAGTTCTACTCTGTCCTAGAGGGTTGCTACAAGTTGGAATTGACTCGATGGCACACAACAACAAGAAAACCTTTTTCTCCTTGTAAGGCATGAGTCTTCTGCATACTCTTTGAAAAGGCTTATTACAATTTTCTTAAATTTTCTACTCCGACTGCCAGGAAGTCTGTCATAATATTGTCTACCCCAGCTCCTTATTCAGCATAAGGTGCATCTGTCTTGAACCCTGGCTGGGGTATTACCATCAGAAGACTTCATTATAACACTATTTTCACGCTAACTTTAAATTTATCTGACTGTAAAAACTCCAAGGACACCGTTACGTGGGAAGACCCAGCATATTTTCAAAAGTAGCTGGGAGGAGAAAGAAACAGTGCATCTGGCATGCTGTTTTCACGGAAAAGAAATGCTCAGATGTTGATAAGTAATCAGAATTTTAAAATAACAGCAGCGGCAACAAAACTGTAGCCAGCATATGGCCCTAATGAATTCAAAATACGTTTGTTCAATCTAAATTCTGATTTAGAGTTCAAGTGTAGCTTGCCTGTTACACAACAAATACAGATAGCAATCAGATAAACTAGATTTTGAAACATACATCAGCAAAATAATATTTAAAAGATACCAGTTTGCCACTACAGCATGGAGTATAATTTTTTATTCCAGATACACCATTTGAAATGTATTCCACAAACACATTTTAATTCAAAACCAAAAAACTGTCCCTAAGATAACTTTTTTACATGATGACCATTTTTCCACCTCTTTTGCTTCAAAAAATAGCTAGCTGCAAACTGCACTTATTTAAGTCACCATGTATATAAATACTCCCATAATACCCCTCACTAATAACAAAACATGTTCTAGGGGTTGCAACAACACCCTGTGTGTGTGAATAACAAACTCATCTCTTAAAAGCATGAAAATAATGTTGCTGTTAGTTGCCATCGAGTAATATTAAAATAGTTAATATTAATCAAACCTACTATGTGTCAGGTACTGTGCTGGGACTTTATCTCTAATCCTCACAATCACGAGTTAAGCATTATCATTCCCATTTTACAGAGTAAACTGAATTGAGGCTCAGAGAGGGGTTCCAGAGCTAGAAAGAAAATGTATACACCTCCTATATTTTCATCAGCACTTTCTGTACATAAAGCATATGCGATCTGAAACTATCAGCTGTATAATTTATCCATCAACCCACAAGTTTTGGAAAACACTATGCTGAGCCAAGTATGCTATGGGTACTTGTGGGGGGCTTAGGGAACTTAGGAGTCCTGGTTGTGCAGTGGTTAAACGTGTGGCTGCTAACCAAAAGGTCAGCAATTTGAATCCACCAGCTGCTCCGCGGAAAACCTGTGGGGCAGTTCTACTCTGTCCGATAGAGTCATTATGAGTCAGAACCAACTCGACGGCAGTGGATTTGGTTTTTGGGTAGGGAACTTACCTCCCAAGGTATATTTCATTTCTTTATTTTAACACAATCCATGGATCTATGACAATTCTGTATTTTTAAATGTATTTAGTTATAGTATATGGAACATCATAGTCTTCTCAGATCCTGAAGAAACCCTTAGTCAAAGCTCAGCTTTCTTCAGAACCCAAGTTTATTCTGGTAACAAATCTCAGAAATGATCCAGAAGTTTATCTGTGATTAGAAGCATGTCTACTCCAGATGACAGAATTCATTATTTGAAGACATATTTTTCCAGGCAACAAAAGCAAAGAGTAGTATTTGGAAAGATCACCTCTCAATCCAAAGGTGACAAAAGTTACAATTGAATACCCCAAGATGTGGCCAAATATGCTAAATTTTTTTGTTAAGTTGAAATGTGTCCAATTGCTATATCATACTGGTATCCACCATATCGAATATTATGTGGATCTTACTGTTTCAAATTTTATATACGGACTTTCAATTCGACTTTACAGCTTTTCATCACTCAAAAGTTCTTGTAATCAATGTTTATGCTAAAAGCAAATGGTTTCTTTAGAGTTATAATTAGGTGAACTATAACCCTGCAGAAAAATCACGATAAACATATACATATACATATGTATATATATATATATATACACACAATCATATATATTCATATATATTTCCTTCTGGAAATTTTTATTAGAAAAATCAACTACTTACTAAAGCTTAATGTGGAAAATAACTCTTTTATACTCAGTTGACTTGTTATCCCAGGACAATTATACATGGGCCATGACAACCTCAACAATTTAAGTTTCTTTATGAAAGGAAGTTCAGAGAGCACAGGCACTCATTTGCACCTACCAACCAAAGGGGGGAAAAAAAACCCCGAAAACAACAACCAAAAACTTTAAACACACAAGGATTTTTTGGGCAGCCTCAGGCTCAACCAAGATGTGTGTAAAATCTGATCGCCGGGGTCCGTGACACTGACAGCCATTCAACTTTCTTTTTAATATTCCCATTGTGCTACTTCTGGTACCACAGGCATGGTGCACCGACATTTCACCAACTGGTCAGAATGCCTCATTCTCTTTGAAACAAGCATTTCTCGAGGAAAAGGGATCAGCCTCCTACTCCGCACGTTCTCCCAGCGCCACGCCGGGGGCTGCGGCCGTGGGGTGGGCCGGGAAGCCAGGGGCACGGGTGTCCGGCACACGAGACAGCAGGACCACACACGGCACTCGCTCCTGGCAGGCCTGCTGTGGCTGGTTCCCGAGTCCCTGGGGTTGCAAGAGCAGCTGTAGCAGCAGCAGCCAAGGCAGGGACACGGGAACCTTTCCCTTGCCTCCTCTGCTAGGCCTCGAGGGGTTTGCTTTACACATGGCCCCCGGGTGGGGGCGGTGGGCAAAAGGTAGTAGCTGCAGCCGCAGCAGCAGGCGAGGCGAGCCGTGCTCTCTTGGAACCAGACCTCCCGGCGGGATGGCAGTAGCAGGACCTCCGCGGGGCCCCTGCCGGAGCGCCGGCAGCTCGGCAGGGAAAGCCACCTTCTCACACACCACATCTCGCCCCTGCCTGCCTCCTTCTCCGTTAGCGCTACCGGTTGGCGAGCGGGGGAGGGGAGCGAGGCGCGTTATTCCCGGGGAGGGGCGGGGGAGGGGAGGGCATCTCTTACCCGCGTTACTGAGGAGGAGGAGGAGGAGAAGGCGGTTGGACTGCGGCGCGGCGGGGAGACGGCGGGGCTGGGTGGGTGCAAGTAAGTGTCTTACGATAGAGAATTAACCCCATCACCAGCCCGGTCACCGGCTCCAGCAGCAGCCGCGGCTGGCGGAATCCCGCCCCTTCCCACCACGCACTAGCCCCGCCTCTCCGTTCTCTTCGAGGGAAAGCCGACTAATCATAGGTTGTTCTCCCACGGAGTGACACAAAGGTTGCCCAATCACTCTTGAAGAAACTTCTTTCTCTCCACCCCTTTATCTTCTCCCGGGCAGCGGGAGAGCAGTGCCAAGTCTTCCTCCACCCTCAAAAGAAAAAGGGCCAATCGGTGGCAAGTAACCGCCCTTGAAAGACGCAAAGGATAACCAATGGTAAAACTAGGAGGACAGCCATTTTGCCCACTTGTGAAAGGGCCAGCTTTTCCCACGAGTTGGAGTCTACGGTGGGGGAGTTTCAGGAGGCTTTACTTAACTGGAAATATTTAAAAGAAAGCCATATTTCTTCAGGGAGTACATATAGTGCTTTGGGGTAAAGGAGCTTATTTTCATCCACTATTTGGGGGGAAGTAAGGAATACTGCTTAAGGGGTTGGCCCCTCCCCTTAGCGGTAACGGGCTCTAAGCTGAACACCTGGTTTCTCGGGGCTCAGTGGGGGAGGGCAGAGTGATCGCCCTTCTCGGCCTAGAGCTGACTACAGTTCCCAACGTGCTTTGCTTCTTTCCTTCGTTTACTTCCCGCGCTGCCTGACGGGAATTGTAGTTCCCGGAACGTACTCCTGCCGCCTGCTTGTCCGATGGAAAGGGACAAAGTTTTGAATGATTTGGAGTTGGGGATGGGGCAGTAGTTGTCACCAAGGCTGTGGAGAACCCTTTTTCACAACCTTGACAGATGAGAAAAGGGACAGAGGGAGGGGTCAGAAGAGTTCTCCTAGAACACCGAAGGGTTTCAGATTCCTGGTCACTTGAACTCTCCTACGTTCAGTTTGTCCCTTTAACGTCACTTCCGGTTACAGGCGGACACGTCCTAAACTTGTGGCGCGAGCTGGGGATTCTGCAGCGAATACACCAGGTGTGTCGGTATGGGTATACGGTCACTATGAGTTGGAATCGACTCTACGGCTACGGTTTTGGGTCGGTATGGGAGCCGCGTGGCGGGCAAGTCGGTACTTCTTGCGTGGGAGATTGGACAGATTTAATTGCATTTTAACATAGAGTGGGTGAAAGGGGATGGGAGTAGTTACCAACTCCATAATGTCACTTTCCACGTCTATATTTCAACTCCGGAGTCCCGTTTTTCTTGGTCCGCTCACTATTAGATTGCACCCACTATTTGTGTAGGGCGCCTAATGCGTTCAGCAGCTTTGCGTGAAGTAGGGCTTCTCGTCGTCAGTTTGTCCAAAAAGAAAGGGCTAGGAAGTTCCGAGCTAACATCTCCGACTTTTACAAACACACTTACTAAAGCTGCTTTTAAGGGGAAAGGCCGCTGAGAGGGTACTTCGGGATAGAGGGTGGGTACTCAGGATTGACAGTTGGGAATGGCCCCAACACCATTCTTTCCTTTAGTAATTCATCCATCATTTAAGTGATGACTGCGTGCCAACTATGATATACCGATGAATAACGACATCATTATAAACACTTAGGAGCCCTTACCGTAGTTAGTACGTTAGACCCTGGTTTGTGCCCTCTTCGGATGCAAGGTTGACTATATCTATGCTGTTGGACGTTCCTGTTGAGGTACCTTGGGCAACTCGAATAAAGGAGATGCATAACAGTTCTCAGAAAAGGTCATGCCTCCCCAAGCCAGATGCTCATTCTTAATTCTCTTTTCCCCGTCATTTTAGCTGAGACGTTCTCAGATAAATTCTCATTTACTTTTCCCCTATAATTTTAGCTGAGACTTTCTCTTGTAAATCAACTTGTAAATACATATTGAGTATCTACTCTGTATTAGGCACTAATACTAGATTTTTAGGGTAGAGCAGTGGCAAGAAAGACAGGCTCCTCGACCAAAACTGGTGAGGAAAAGTGAGGCCAAACAAAATTAATGGTAGCGTTACTTGTTCTTTTAGTCTCTCCCTAAATTTAGCCAAGTCTTGTTTAGACATGTTTTGTGCTTTTATTCAGTCTCTTTCCATTTTTACCCCTGGATTAAAATAAGCATGTCTTCTCTTTCTATCATTTTTATTAAAGCAGTAGAAGCACTAATAAGCTGTGTCCAGTAATCTTGAGTGGTATTTCTGTACCGAGTAGATCATATGTTTTATAGAGTAATACTTCTAGATGAAGGAAGCTTTCAGCCAAATGGTATTGTGGGTCCATTAGGCAGAACTTCGTCTCTTGCATTATGATGCAGTTAGGATCTTCAGTGATAATTTAGTAGTATAGTCTTCTACAGGTGCTTAGTTTTTGGTCTTGAGCTCTTCCAGCGTAGTAAATAGTGAATAAATAGTAATGAAGGCACCATTTTATTGAGTGTTTCCTGTGAGCCAGGCATGATGTTAAATACTTTAAGTACATTTTCCTTGCAACAGTCGGTAAGTATTGTCTGCAGTCTTTATAGTTGAAGAAATTGGGGCTCAGTGAAGTCAGTTAAGAAGTTTAGGCCTAAGACCCCTAATCAGTAAATTTTGGAGCACCAACTCATATCCAGGTCTACCTGATTCCTTAGCTCTTCACCACTGCTCATCCTGCCTCTTGAACAGTTACTAATTAATCTCTCAATATGTGCCAGACACATAGTGAGGGAGAAACAAAATTTCATCCCAGGATTCTAGAACCAGTGGTGGCAATAACTCCCTCTTTTGAGCCATATTTTGCCTTGTACGTAATACATACTCGTAAGAAGCAAAAGTCATCTGCAATTGTATTACCCAGAAATAACCACTGTGAAATTTTGTTGAGTACTTTTAGATTTCTCTCTTTACGTAGAGATGTAAGACACATGTATACATGGTATCATGCTGCTTTGCTCTTTTGTCACTTTTTTTTTTTTTGACTTGACAGTAGGCTATGGGCATGTGTCCATGACTGAATAAATATTAATATTATCATTTTTTATGTGTACCTGGTATTTCATTGTATGGCTCTAAAATAACCAATTTCCTGCTGATGAACGTTTACATTGTTTTCAATTATAAACTTATATAAGCGATACTGTGGTGAGGATTATCTTTGTATACTTGCCTGATTATCCCTTCAGTCTTCAACTGTTTAGCCACATAATTTAGTACAATCATCCCTCAGTATCCTTGGGGGATTGGTTCCAGGATCCCCACATGGATACCAAAATCCATGGATGCTCAAGTCCCTTATATAAAATGGCACAGTATTTGCATATAACCTACACACATCCTCCTGTATACTTTAAGTCATCTCTGGATTACTTGTAATACCTAAGACAATATAAATACTATGTAAATACTTGTTATACTGTATTGTCTAAGGAATAATTACAAGACACGAGGCAAACAATGCTCAAACAATGAGTGCTGGAGTGAGACTGAGGATCTGTGAAATGGCATGAGACTATGCTTACACATCATTTCATTTGCATGGATTCAGCGTAGCGCTTGATGCGCATGAATTCAAGTTTTGTTTTTTGGAATTTTTTTTTCTGAATATTCTCGATCTGTAGTTGAATCCTGGGATGTGGAACCTGCAGATATGGAGGGCAGACTGTAATATGCACCTATTCCTCACTTATCGACTATCGTTATCTGACATTTCGCATTTACAACAATAGTAAAAAAATGTACTATCCAACTATTTTGCACATGAATGACGTACGTCTGGCAGTAACGAATGCCAGGGTTTGGAGTGAGAGTAACACTGGCTGTGATGGTTAAGGTTATGTGTCAGCTTGGCGGGGCCATGCTTCACAGTGCTTTGGCAGTTAAGTAATGATGTAGTTTGCCAGTTATGTAATGATGTAGTCATCCTCCATTTTGTGATCTGTTGTGGTCATCCTTCATTTTTGCATAACGATGGTTTTCACATAACAACCTGGTCTTTGGAACCTAACCGTGTTGATAAGTGAGGAGAGGGTGTAGTTTACTTAGTTACTTGGTGATGCTGCAACAGAAACATCACAAGTTGGTAGCTTTAAAGAACAGAAATTTATTTTCTCTAAGTTCTGGAGGCTAAAAGTCAAAATCAGGGTCTTGGCAGTGTGGGTTCCTTTCCTGTATGTAACCTCTGGCATCTTCATTTCCTTGTTTTATAGATGCCTGACATGGCATCTGTGACCCCACCCTTCTCATCCTCCCACCCTCTCAGAGACTGTTGTGAGGATTAAATGACTTAATATATGAAGAACACTTAAAATGGTGCCTAGCATATAGTAAGTGTGTGTTAGTTTTTATTATTGTTGTTGTTTCTATGGACCAGGCTGATGTTAAAGGCTAGAGTGCTGAAGTAAACAATAATGAACAAGACAATCTATGGTCCTGACTTTATGAAAGTATTCTAATGGGAGGGAGAAACAAAAATCAAGTCAATATATAAAAATAATTGCCAACTATGATAAGTGCTGTAAGGAAACCAATGGAGAGTCCAATTGCACGCTTTCACAGTATTTCAGCTGAGTAGTAGGTGATGGCAGTTGAAATGGAGAAAAATAGTTGGATATAAAATATATTTTGGTAGTAACGAATGATACTTGTTACTGTGGAGTTGATTCCAACTCATAGGGACCCTATAGGACAGAGTAGATCTGCCCCATAAGAGATTTCCAAGGCTGTAATCTTTAGAGAAGTAGACTGCAACATCTTTCACAGTGGCTGGTGAGTTAGAACTGCTGACCTTTCAGTTAGCAGCCTAGTGCTTAACCACTGTGCCACCAAGGCTCCTATAATGAATGATAAGTGGATTCAGGTGGGGGCTAAGGGAAAGAGAAGAATCAATAATGAAGGCCAGATTTCTGGTTTGAGTAACTTGCATGATTGCCCTATTTACTAAGGAGGCCTGGTGGCACAGTGGTTAAGTGCTCATCTGCTAACTGAGAAAGACACGATACTGTGTGTTTGTAGAGATTACTGCCTTGGAAACCCTGTGGAGCAGTTCTGCTTTGTCCTGTAGAGTTGCTATGAGTCAGAATCAACATGACAGCAGTGGGTTTAATGGGTACTGATTATTAAGACAAAGCAGGGAGCACACAGTTTTGGTGGAGAAATCAAGACTTTGGATTTGGACATTTAAGTTTAGCTTGAAATGACTTTGAGACACCCAAAATGTCAGGTAGTTAATTAGATATAGGAGTCTGAAGCTAAGAGATTATTAGTTGTACTATCTAGACTATTTGTAGTAGCCTGCTAAATGGTTGCCCTCGCCTCTACATCCAATCTTCCAAATTTGACAGTAATCTTTATAAAATAGAAACCTGATTAAACTCTAGGAAGGGCTCCCAGTTCCTTACAGAATAGTGTCTAAAGTCTTTTTGCACAACACATGAGGACCTCCTTGACCTGCCTGTTTTTACTTCCTACCATTTGTTACAAGCATCTTATTCTTTATAGTAAACAGCTTAGGATTTTCTGAAACATTGTGCCTTTGCCTTTGGAAATATGACTTCCTTCTCCGTAGAATATCCTTATCCTGATTTTCCATTGGTAAACTTGACTCCTCCTTCAAGTTTCAGTTGAAGTGTTATAATCACATATTTAAATAAGGTCTACCATGTACCAGGGGTCCCTGGGTGGCACAAACAGTTAAACGCTCAACTACTAACCAACAGGGTGGTTTGAGTCTACCTAGAGGTGCCTCAGAAGAAAGGCCTGGTAATCTACTTCCAAAAAATCAGCCACTGAAAACCCTGTGGAGCACAATTCTACTCTGACATACATGGGGTCACCATGAGTGGGAATCAATTCCACAGCAACTGGGTTATTTTGTTTTGTTTTTAAACCATGTACGAAGCATTTTTTCTTTTCTTTGATTGCCTTCTACCTTAAGGAAAGTCAGCACTTTTGCTTCTGTGTGGTACCTTATATTTGCTTCTTTCATAGCACTTATCACATTGTATTGCAGTTATTTCTTACAGCTCTCCTTTCCCTCCAAGACTGGGCCTGG